TTTTAAAAAGGATAGAATAATTAAAATTTTTAAAAAAGGTAGGAAGAGGTCGTTCAAAACACTAACCAAACCAAGGTTGTCTATTTCTCTGTAAGCTCAAATGAGTCGGCAGAGCTAGGTCTTCAAAATCTTCCAAAAGGTCAGGAGTATTCCCCTCTGGGGAAATGGTATTCCAAAGGCCAGGCTGATTGCAGAGAAAGCTCTCTTCCTAGATGCCACATCAAAATATTTTAACTGACAGGTTCTATAGTCCCTTTCCTACCTGACTGGGTGGGATGCACTGATGTAATGAGGAAATGTGGTTTCCAGGTAACCTGACACCGTGTAACTGATGTACCTCCACTACAATAGATTGAGGTGGTGGGTATTAAAGAAAATATTCTTCTTTACATTTTTTTCACCAAGTGATAAATAGTTGGTGGCACAATGTTGATTTAGCCCAGCAGCTTTTCTGTGTTCAGCATGACTGGAAGAATGGATGTAAGGACTGAAATTCTAATGATGTCCTATTACTGTAGTAAACTTTGCCATAAGCTTTGAGGCTGATACAATGCAGGAATTGAAACTTTCTGAAGGAGATGCTTGGCCTCCAACCTTCATATCAACAAATTATATACACAGAATCATAAAATCATTTAATTGTACAATTGGAAAGGGATACACACAGAAAAATAGAAACATCAGAGACATAGTTTTTATTCTCTGATAAATTCAATTTTTCTCCATGTAACAGAGAGAGAGCTTGCCAGATTCTAGGTCAAGTGGAAAGCTGTAGACTTAACAAGGATCTGAGGAAACAATCCATATCCTTTCCAGAGGTAGAAGTGGCAATCTTTGTGGGAGGGGCTGAGGACTGGAGAATGGATGAGTATCATTGTTTGCCTTACATATTGCCTACTGATTGGTATAATTTAAGGTGCCTATTTTACCTTTTTTAAGGTTTTTGGATATGCCATCCTCAATCTCTGCCCATTCAATAGTTACAATGGTGTTGGACAAAAGGTGGTTATGATGTGTCACCTTTTGCAAGCTTCCCAGCCAGCTTCCCCAGAATGTCAATGGGGAAGCTAGCAGAGAAGGTTGAATGTCACTGGGATAAGTCTCCCTCACCTATGCATCATTCCCCAGACCCTCTGTGCTCACATCATGCCAGCCACTTGCACAGGACCATACACTCTCCTTGACCTGCACAGCATCTCTTTACAATCTCCCTGACCCTCCCTCCCTTATGTACCCTCTATGACTGTTACATGTGAACCCTCCCTGACTCACACTGTGCTTCTTGTGCATCCTCCCCAACTCCTGCACCAAACGCTTGCCCAACCCACAATGAGCCTAATGCATACCTCCTTATACCCACTCACTTTTCAATCTGTGCAGAAACTCTTGTACACCCTCCCTGACTTCCTCCACACCTCTTCATGTCCTCCCCCACCCAGCAGCAGTCACTTGCTTACCTAGGGGCCTGGGACTTGCAACTTCCTGCCAGATTCCCATTGATGTTGGTTGTGGAAAGCCAGCAGGAAGTTGCTTTCCCTAACAACTGTGGGATTCAGTTAACAATGACAATCAGGAATACAGGAATTGCCATCCCTAAGCAATACAAAAAGTCAACAATCTTTACTTTTTGTTTTAGAAAATGTGCTATACACTATATTTTTCAATTTAAAACAGACATAATTATTGTACTCTAGCAGCAGGAGGTACAGTGATACAACTCTGATGTGAGACTGTGAGAATTCTGTGAGAGAAGCAGAAAAGTGACACTTAAATTATTTCAGTGAATAGCGGGAAGCACTCGAGAATATAAAAGAGAAAAGGAAAGTATAAATTTGCAGAGGCTAAAAGCAAGAGGTTTAGATATTGGCATATCATAAAAGCTACATACAAAACCTGAAGGATCAGAAAGGTGACACATGAGATGTGAAATGACATAATTCTCGCAACCAGACAAGAGCTCCTCTTGACAAGATGTCAAGAGGGGAAAACAAGGCCTTTCTAAACAAACAAGATGCTACACACATTTGGTGATCATTCATATAAAATTGTATTCTTATATTTATCTTTGTTTTTTAATATCTTGAAACATTCTCTGTGATTTATCTGTTGATTCATAATATTTTGAAAATCATTTGCATTACATTTATAATTTGCATAATATATTTATTCTATTCTTAGATTAGTTTTTCCTAATATTTTAAAGAATAAAGCCTTCCCTCACTACAGTATTGAATAACTCCATAAGATCTAATTCCATATATCAAGATTTAACCAACTGATTGTTAGACAGCCAATTTAATTAATATCAGCAGCAATTTAACTTTTCTTGTTGAGTAAGTCATTGAAACAGAGACTGCTTTGAGAATACTGATCTCCAAATCAATGGCCAAGTTAGAAGTGTAAGATTTTGCATCTATATATTTACCAACTATGCCTTAACCACTACATCAAGCTGGTTCTCAATATATATTAGATATAGTAATGTGTGTTTTTGTGTGTATGTGTGAGAGAGATTCCTTGTAGGCTGGAGTTTTTCCTCTCATTGTAATGAGAACTGTATGGATTCTGTGCTCAATCCAGTTAATAAAAACTGCTTAAACTAGTAATCTATAAAAGAAAGTTTATAAAGTTGGGCAATATACATTTGAAATGGAGGAGAGATTGAAACTGCCAAGATGATCAGTATTCCAGAACAATTGTCTCATGTTTCATGTAAGCAATATTCCAGTATTTGAGGAGCTGCCACAAAGAAGGTCAAATTATTTTGCAAAGCATCAGAAGGCAAGACAAGAAACAATGGATGGAAACTAATCAAGGACAGAAGCAATCTGGAATTAAGGAGAAATTTCCCAAGAGTGAGGACAATTAATCAGTGGAACAGCATGCCTTCAGAGATTATAGGAGCTTCATCACTGGAGGTTTTTAAAAACAGACTAGACAGCCACCTACCTGAAATGTTATAGAATCTCCTGCTTGAGCAGGGAGTTGGACTAGAAGAATCCATGGTCCCTTCCAGTTCTATTCTGATTGATAGCAATAACAATAGCACTTAGGCTTATATACTGCTTCACAGTGCTTTACAGCTCTCTCTAAGTGGTTTACAAAGTCAGCATATTGTCCCCAGCAATCTGGGTCCTCATTAAATCGACCTCGGAAAGATGGAAAGATGAGTCAACCTTGAGCCAGTGAGAATTGAACAGCCAAACTGCAGGCAGCCAGCCGTCAGCAGAAGTAGCCTGCAGTACACCACCATGGCTCTGGGTTGATTGATTAATGGTGAGAGAAAATTATGAAAGGGGCTAAAAATGGTATTTGCTTTGTTCTCCTTTTCTTTTTTAACTTCTGCTGCTCTTTCTCAGGTAGTTGGATCAATATATTAATTGAAGGCTCCAAAGAAACAAGAATAAAATATATTTATATATTGAGGGTATGGAAATAAATTAGCATTTACAGGTAATCCTTGACTTATAATTACAATTGGATCTGGAACGTTCATCGCTAAGTTGTTAAGTAAGTCTCATCCAAATTTTTGGTGAGGCAGTTAAGCAAATCATATGGCTATTGAAACCAGCTAGGAAAGTCACAAATTGCAATCATATGATCCTGGGACACTGCAACCATCATAAATACATGCCAGTTGCCAAGCACCCAAATTTTGATCATGTGACCATAGGCAGGCTGAAACAGTTGTAAGTGCAAGGACCAGTTATAAGTGACTTTTTTCAGCACCATTGTAACTGTGGACTGTCACTAAATGAATGATTTTAAGTAGAGGACCACCTATACATATCAATGCCCAGGATCAAGTTTCTATAAGAAATGTACACTTTTGGGAATGTACTAAGACCTTGTCAATGACAAAATAATAAGTTGTTACTACACATTTTAAAATATTTGCCTATCTCCTAAATACAAAGCAATTCTATCTTGCCTCTGTAATGATACTGCCACTTACCATATTTTCCCCAAATAAGACCCGGTCTTATTTTTTTTTTTACCTCTAAAAGAGGCAGTAAGTCTTATTTTGGGGGAATATCTTATTTTTTTCCCAACACCTGCCTCGCCTCATGGCGGTGGCACCAACAGCCCTGTCCAGCAGGACCCACATGGCCACCAGCCCATGAGACAAGGCAGGTGAGGAAGGGGATGGAGCTGCTTCAAGCACTCCATAGGCACCAAACACTTTTCGCCCAGAGGGTGACCAGAAGCTTAGTCTGCTTGCAAATGGGGTGCTTAGAAACCAAGCAATTCGCTCTGTTTCCAAGCGCTCCATTTGTAAGGAATGAAGCTTCCAATCTCCATCATTTCTCTGTCTGGGCAAAAAGTGTTTGAGTATCTATGGGATGCTTAGAAACCCAGTATAAAAAAACCTTTTGCCTGGATGGAGAAATGACAGAGACTAGAAGCTTCGTCTGCTTGCAAATGGGGTGCCTGGAGATGGAGTGTATTGCTCAGTTTCTAAGTTCCCCATTCACAAGCAGATGAAGCTTCCAGTCTCCCTCTGGGCAAAAAGTGCATGGCACATCCAGATCACCTGCCTTCCCCTGCCTCTGCCCTCAGACTTACCTGTGCTGTGCCAAGTGGCCAATGGGTTGTGGCTGCTGCCAGACACCATTGGTCCCCACATGTTTGCCCCTGCTTGTGCTGGCCATGCCTACCCCCCTGGGCTTATTTTTGGGATAGGGCTTATATTAGGCCCACCCCAAAAAATCAGGCTAGGACTTATTTTCAGAGTGGGTCTTATTTTAGGGGAAACACGGTAGCAATTTAAAAAAAAATCTATGATTCAGATGAAATATCTGAAAGCAGGAAATACTTCTCATTTCTTTCAAATATGTGGCTGCAATTTCCACCAAATATTTTCCTTTGGGGAAATAAGTTATGTTTTACAGTAATAATTTCTACTTCCTTCTGAAACATGACTCAAAACTCTTTAATTTTGATGATTTTTTTGATGATTGCTTAATTATTATCAGGAATGGGCTTTGTTATCAACTTACCTTCAGATAAAGGACTTGGTTTATGACAATAAGCAGAGCTTTTCCTATTGCTTTCAATGTTGACCAACAGGCTGGACTGAATTTTTCTGTGTATCTTTTGGGAAACAGGTGCAGAAAATGTTTGGTTATCTAGCGCATCAACTTTGACTCCACTGCAAAATCCGCTTTCACTATTCAGACCTCTGGGACTATTTTGTTTTTTGCTGGTTCCTTCCTTATACTTGTCAAGCGGCAAAGCATTTGTCTGAGGCAAACGCTGAGGTTGTGCTTTAAAAATATGTCAGAAAAGAAAGAATTAGAGCAGTTAATTGCTGTAATGATGCCTAAAACCCCCCCGGTTAATTCATTCCACACATCTTAAGTTGCCATGTTTGAGAAACACTGCTTTAAACACTAACTATGGATTTAATTTGATCTACCAGTGAAACCATGGTAAGAGATTTACTTATTTACTGTAAGAAATTAATACTTTAAAGATTTAAAACCTCGGAGAATGTTAAGTATTCTGAGTCAAATAAAGTTTCTCTAAGCATAGATTAAAAATTAACCTATCGTATTTTCTGGTGTATAAGACGACTTTCTAAACCCTGAAAATCTTCTCAAAAGTCCGGGGTCGTCTTATACGCCGGGTAGCTGTTCTCTGAATTTAAAACCAATCTGCCCCCTAGTGGCCAGCCCTATTTTTTTTACAGAAATAAACACTAACACAGTGTTTCTCAACCTTGACAATTTTAAGGCATGTGGATTTCAACTCCCAGAATGCAGGACAAAGCATTCAAAAATCCCATTTTTCTACATCGCCCATCACTTTATTCTTTTTCAGGAAAAACAATTAAATAGTAGAAAACAGTAAGCTATATAAATTAAGAACATTACTTCTACAAAAAAAGAGAAACATTTGATTTACTTATTATACCTATAGCAGCAGTCATGAATATATGGAAAAGATTTTTGATTAAGAAAGATACTGGTCAAAGGAAAAAGATCAAAGTGAAAATTAAGAAAATAGATGATGGGATCTAACAGAGAGAATATTTAAAAAAGAAACATTTGTTTGAATATGGTTAAAGAAACAGAAAAGATTCTGAATACATATGTCATTCTAAGAGAGATGAATTCCTTAAATAATACTGTATGCTTTCCCCCCCTTTTATTTTATTTCTTGATATAAGTAATATAATACTGCTGAAATGGCCTAGATGAAGTAAATGTTTTAGATAATTAAATGTGTCTGAATTTACGGAAATTATAATGTATAAAAAAGAAAAAAATGTTTTGAATAAGACCTAAAGGATTAGATGACTAGGCACATTAAATGGAATATTTAAAGATTAAATATATTTCATCAAAATAATAAGAACTATATTATTTCAAGGTTTGCAAAGAAGACATTTTGAGGAAAAGGGGAAATCAACTAAATGTACTATGTGGATTATAGATTATAGAAACCAATTGTTAATGATTTTTCTTTACAAATGTAAACCCAGCAAACGCACTGTTTACCAACTATTAAGTGATTTATATTTTAAAAAATCAATAAAATATATGGGGGAAAAAATACCAGCTGAGTTCAGGAAGCATTAGGGAAGCAGTGGTGGGCAACACTTGCTTTCTAGCAGCAAAGGAATGGAGCTCCTATTGTGCTCATCTATAAACAGAAATTCAATATTGTACCGTATTTTCTGGCATATAAGACGACTTTCTAAACCAGTGGTTCTCAACCTGTGGGTCGGGACCCCATTTGGGGTCGAACGACCATTTCATGGGGGTCGCCAAATAAGGCTGTCCGCCATTTTTCCCCCTTTTCTTTGGCCACGCCCCTGGCACCCAGTGATGTATAAGTGGTTGGGGGTCACCAACATGGGGAACTGTATTATGGGGTCGCGGCATTAGAAAGGTTGAGAACCACTGTTCTAAATCCTGAAAATCTTCTCAAAAGTTGGGGGTCGTCTTATATGCCCAGTCGTCTTATATGCCGGAATATACGGTATATTATTCTATCTGTAGGCTCCAAGTTCCCATGGCTGTTAACTAAAATTAGAATTTTAAAAAATCATTAGCACAATATTGCTAAAAGTGCAAAAAAACCCACTACAATTTATAAAGGCAAAATACAAAAACTAAAAAGAAAAAAAGAAAAGAAAATGACACACACCCCCTATATAATAACATACATTTCCAGAAGTAATCCAGAACAGATATATTTTGGTTCCCTTTGGAAAAAAAACATCAAGACAGAAGTCTAAAACCACCATGCCTATTTTTTATTATAGAAAATCTACATTAGGAATGTTTTTCTATTGGTTTATGCACGTGGAGCTCATAAAATACACTTCCTAAAATAATTAGAGTAGAAATCCTTTGGACTTTCAATAAACAAAATGTTTCTGATGAAAATATTTTCTATAGTAATGGAATATATTCACTAATTTCTGGACTGTACACAAAGTAATCCTTGCATATATTACAGATGTACCTCCAAGTTACTGAAAATGAGGGGTCCTTGGTGCTTTCTGAGCTTGCTTGTTTTCTTTCAGATGTTTCATTACCCTAACTAGGTAACATCATAGTGCTAATCAGACTAGCATTGATGATGTTACCTAGTTAGGGTAATAAAATGTCTGCAAGAAAACAAGCAAGCTCAAAAAGCACCAAGGACCCCTCATTTCAACCCTGAGCTACAAATATTCTCCTTCATTGCTTACTAAAAAGTAAATGACAGGACAACTGCTTTACAAGCCTTCCAAATTTTGTCCATTTCAAGATTAGGAACCTCTTATATTGTTTATATTGCTAAGAAAATAACTTTGCATCTTTTTTGAGGGTTTAATGTTCTTTCTACCGAGTTATTCAGAAATTTATTTAAATGAAGCATGTTGGATAGCAAGAATTTCATTGTGGAAAAGAAAGCCAAGAATATTGAGAAATTGGGCTGGGCTGTCTCAAATCAGCCCTGACTTTTTAAAAATACTCTTACAATCTATTTTTAGAAGTAAGGGAAATTTTTCACACTGGCACATTAACATTGATTAACTTTATTAAATGAATGAACAAGCACCAAAGCATGGAGTTATTTCTTCACTGAGACTCTTTTTATGTCAGTAGGACCTGAATGAACATCTGATAACATATAGGGCAGGGGTGTCAAATTGCCGGCCCGCAAGCCGGACGTGTCACATGGAAGCCATGCCTACCCCATTGCCGGCAATGGCAAAACTGTCCCGATAGGTTGCGTGACATCACGAGACATTGCGAGTTTGACATGTCTGATATAGGGACAAAGATAGGCAAGAGTTGGAAATCTCAAAGGAGACAAATATTTTTTCACAGAATTTTTAATTTCTTAAGAGATTCAAATGGATCTTCCACTTTAAAAAATAATTCAACCTGGAAACTTACTATCACAAAATACATTTAGAAATTTGGCCACTAATATGTGGGTCAAAAGTTAATAATTTATTTGGTTATTATTTGTCAAACCTTTGCTTATATTGTCCCATTATTTTTATCCTCATCTTTTGTTTACTCAAGAGAAAGCAATAAATAGAATCTGAATTTCCTAAAGTGGTAGATGGAGACCATTAGGAAAATGAGGTGCACACAGCTAAGCATACTAGCTAGAGTCAGTTGGGCCTATTAGCATAAGTCAAGGAAGACACTAGTCAAACATGAATTTGTCAACTATCCTCAAAGTGAATTGAAACATGTTCAAGTAATTGAGGTAAGGTAAAATGAGTTTTCCTTATGTTCAGATGTAAAACTAAGGCACAATGGATATAAATGACTGTATAAATCCTGAGAAACTCAATGTAATCTATACAGATAATTCTATATGTTCATGTTCATATCTGCAATAATTTATTTATAATCCTATGATATTCCACTATATGGTATATGGCAAATCAGAAAGTGATGTATCTTTATCATCATTATGAAATAGTTGTTCAAACAGAATCTAAGCTACATTCAGTAGGAGTCATCGTACATTGTAATCATACATAGCTGCCCATTAACAGCAGTAGCTGAGGAAACCACAAAGGTACTATACAAAGTCAAAAAAATTCTCCATGGCCAACAAGAAGGCTTACTATATCTGCAGAAAATTCTCAAACACAGCTTCCTGTGTGAGTAGATAATATGATCCCATTCTTGTACACAATTCTCAAATATCATAATTCCAAATGATATCAGAAAAGGATATATCCAAAATGAAGTACACTCACTTAATGACTGCTCACATAGTTGACTGGCCAAAGTTATAACAAACCCCCAAGAGACCTGGCTTTCCAAAGACGGCTTCCCTCACATTACCATATTTTGGGGGCTTGGCAACTGGCTTGTCTTTATGGTCAATTGCAGTATTTTTAAGTCACATGACATGATTTATTATGTTTTTTGCTGGAAACCAGCATTTCAAGAAATGCCCACAGGAATGCATTCTCACTTAATGACCAAAGTATTTACTTTACAACCAGGGTGTTTGCTTAATGACCACTATAAAAGGTCATAAAATTCAGTTGGTGTTACTGTTGGCTGGCACGCAAACCCTGCTCACAACCAGACATCAACAACGGGAAGGGGGAAGGAAGGCATTGGGATGCAAGGGGGGCATTGGAGAAGGAATGCAAGTGTGCCAACTTGAAGCCTGAGATAGATCCAGCTCCCCAAGGTCATTGGCTGGGAAAGTCTGAGGCAGCATTCCGTTTCCAAAACAATGCAAAATGATTGGCTAGACCAGGGCTTTTCAACCAGTGGTACGCGTACCACTTGTGGTACATTAATGAGTGGCAGGTGGTACACAGCCCTGCTTAGCCAAGTGTAGTGGGGGAGGGAAAGAACCAGCACAGGCAAGGACTTACTGTGAGAGAGTCCTCTGGAGCTTCAGAGTGGCTGAGCCGAGGCAAAGGCCCCAGGCTCACTTCTGGCTCACCCTCCCCCATGAAAATGGAGGCGTAGGAGGGGCAGAGACAGGAGAGGCTATAAAAGGAGGCAGTTTGGGCAGGAGAGGGGGAGAGAGAGAAATAGAAGCAGTCTTGGGAGGAGGCGGAGTCAATTCTAGCTGCACTGAAGGGAAAGAAGGAGGAGGGGGGAGAGGAGATCAAGCAGGCTGGCCATGAGCCAATCTACAACTGCTGTGGCAGCCACCTGTGTTGGTAGCAGCACACAGACAAGAAATGCAGTGGGGGAGGGGTCATCCTCCAAGAGGAATGAAAAAAGGCAGCAATGGCTGGAGGTGAGGCACAGGGAGGGAAGGAGGGAGATGGAGAGTGGAAG